AAATAAAGTATGATCTCCTTATGGATTTTCAAACCGACTAGTAGAACTGAATAATTTTCGTTACTTTTTAAAAAAAATTGAAATGGCAAAAAAACTCATGTGTACCACAAGACATGTTCCTTCACGTAAATTATCGAGCAAGCAGAAAGGTGGAGCAAGCAGAAAGGTCAATATTTCTATACTTGAGAGGATTTATTTATGGTTAATTTGGCATCTTCACAAGCCCAGTAAATTGAGTATCCCGTTCCACTACAAACCCCGAAAAATAAACGTTCGATTTAATTAGAGATAAGATAGTCTAGCTAGAATGTTTACTATAACTCTTCCAACACTTCCATCATCAATAGCTTCCTACACTTCCATCATCAATCGCTGCCTACACTTCCATCATCAATAGCTTCCTACACTTTCATCATCAATAGCTTCTTACACTTCCATCATCAATAGCTTCCAACACTCCCATCATGCATCAATAGCTTCCTACACTTCCCTCATCGATAGCTTCCTACACTTCCATCATCTATAGCTTCCTACACTTCCATCATCAATAGCTAACGATGTTGGAGGAGTCTCCAACGCGATCATGATTGATCATGAGCTCTCCATCAAAGAGCTGAGTCCGGGCAAGATGCAGAAGGAAATGAGCATGTCCCGTATCCATAAACGAGTCTAGTTAACAAAAAAATATATTATTAAGAATCCTCAGCCCAGAAAACAAAATTAAACGGCTGACGCGCAATGCCGAGTCTGGAACAGATTAAAAATATATACCTAATGCATCAAATACACTTCGATTTTTAGACAACATGAATGTTTGAAAAGTATAAGCTCTAAGTTATCTTGAAAAAAGGACGCACAGGAGGAGTTATTGATTATAATTTTGGTTGCCATACTGCATTTTAAAGCTCGTCGACTATTCCGAACACTTGCATACTTCGCAATGTTTGGCAAGATGGGAAGAGTGAACCAATCTCAAATAGAAGCTCTATATTTTGGCAGTTCTTTAATATATAGCGAAGTGTCTGGACCATTCGTCTTCCTTTGTGTGCACCCACAACCCTTGGCGCCAGAGTCTGTCTTCGCCAGAGTCTTTCAGTTTTCATTTCTATCTGACATCGGTCTCCAAGCATCGCATGGTATTAATGCAGAGATGTGACACAGTCCCAAAATATTCCTGGCAAACGCGTGTGGTTTTTTTAATCTTAGTCATTAGTCGTACCACACGATAACTTAGGCCAAGCCACACGATAAACAGATCACTTGAAGATTGTACAGAGATGCTATTACTTTCGAAAAATACATCCGGAATATAAAATTAAAAGAACATCATCATTTGTAGATCAATAGATCTAGTTGTTAACCTGAATAAACCTTAAATAAAAATATAAAGTCCTCAATTTCTTTAACTTCTGTATCGGTCTGGTAACTAAAAATACTTGACAATATTCAGGATAAAAACAATCCATTGTGGCGTTCGATTGATCAACATTTTTCGTTCCACGCAATGAAGCCGATGGGAAGTTTCCTATAAAAGTCTCATCACCCGAAAGTGTTCAAACTTTGGCTCATCTTTCCTCAGGTTCGCTAAGTTCCCGAAAGTCCCCTAAGGCAACTACGAGGGCAATGACATAAATTAGGCCACAAAGAAAGAATCCTCGAAAATTGAGATTCTTTTTCCAATTGAAGTTTCACGGCGATCCCAGCTAAATTACGGTTGTTGGATCTACGATTGGAATATGCATCATAACTAATATTGATTGGATAGGGATTCAACAAAAATATAATCGAATTACAAGTTCGTATCCAAAATTAATGGAGAGATAAAAAATAATTCTTAATAAGAATTCAATTATAAAATAGGTCTGAAAAATCAACACTCAATGGATGGCGTATTCGAAAGTAGGTACATCAGGTATTTACTCCTGTATCCATTTTCAAACAAAACCTCGCAACAATACTCTGCTGCAGAACAATATCAGAAATCTCGAGTTTACTCGATGATTACAAGAGGCCGTTGTGGATAGATGTACCTATATCTTCCTGTAAGTTAAGCTCATATTTCCTAAGATATGATCGCGATTTCTCAAAAACTATCAATAAACGTCAAAGCAATTAAAAAATTCTCAAAGCACTAAAAATTTCATAAAATAGGCTCAATAATATCACAATTATCGCCATTTCCTTGTATGTATTCAGGATAGGAACATGAAAGCCCAATTGTGACATCTGAAATTTTTAGCTAGAGAGCCTGTATCGTCGCGCAGAAAAGCTCTGGTATTCATACAGTTCGATTGATTCAAAGCCTTGCAGCAGCCGTGGTGTGAATGGGAAATTCACGCTGGAATTTCGTTAAGATAGGAACAAGAAAGCCCAATTGTAACATCTGAAATTTTTAGCAAGAGAGCCTGTGTCGTCGCGCAGAAAAGCTCTGGTATTCATACAGTTCGATTGATTCAAAGCCTTGCAGCAGCCGTGGTGTTAATGGGAAATTCATGCTGGAATTTCGTTCTAGACAAGCCTTCACAAACATTGCAGAGAATCACAGTTCATCAATTTGAGAGCTCTAAACAAACCTACGATAACATTCTCTGTGTTGAATTCGGTCTCTTATCAATAACGCTTCCCTGCGATGGGTCGAAACCCAGTGAACATTTTCGAAAGATTGTTTGTCTGTGAGTTGGAAGTCTGGCACTGGAAATACAGAAGCGCTATTGCAAAACAAGGTTGAGAGAACGTTATAGTAAAAAATACGCTTCGATTCCAAATTTAAACCAATTAGAATTGTATTAAGAACTGATGAATTACAAATTTCCTTATAATTACTTAAAGAGAGTTCGATGATAGTTTTGCATCTCATGTACTTTTTCACTCTTATTATGATCTATCCCGAGCAATGCCTGCTTATTCCATATTATACGTCACAAAGCATTCTCAAGTCTATTAATATGGACACTATCACTGCTTTGAGTAACACATCAGTAAAATGAGTCGTGTAGCAATTACCCAATTAAAACTCATTTTACGAGACAAGACTTAGCATAATGCAGAATCAGAGATACCCGAATACCATTCGTTGAACTGTCAATAGGATCAGACATCGGACCAGTTCAACGAAATACCATTCGTTGAACTGTCAATAGGGTCAGACATCGGACCAGCTCAACGAAAAACCATTCGTTGAACTGTCAATAGGATCAGACATCGGACCAGTTCAACGAAATACCATTCGTTGAACTGTCAATAGGATCAGACATCGGACCAGTTCAACGAAATACCATTCGTTGAACTGTTAGTCACCAGACCAGTTGCGATGTCTGTCCCCGACACTGTCGAGCTAGACGCATATACAGTATTGCTGCTGTGTTGTGTGGTAAGCTTCCAAAGAACGTCTAGTGGCCGGGACGTCTTTAGGTCTACGAAGCGCGGAGGCTCTGGCTTCCTAATTCAAATATCCTCTTATCGCGACGCCGCGGGGGTTTTTGTGGATATTGAAGCGCGTTATCAAAGCCAAGAACTTTTGTAATGCCTAGCACTGAAAATTTTGCATAAAAGTTACGGGGAAAATGAGGAATAAAGCTTTCGTACCAACGAGCAGTGTGATGGGTAAATAATTACGTGAGTAACAACATATTAGAATTACGCATAACCGAACATATAAGAAATTGCTTTGACATCAATTCGAATTCGAAAAAAGTTGTCATAATTGATCAATTATTTTAAAATGTATAAAAATTTTGTTTTTATGTTCAATCCTATAAATAGATGAAAATGTAGGATTATCTTAATTTAGTGGGTAAAATGTAATTCGTAAAATGTATTAATATCCTAATTTGGTAAATTTGCAAGGGTTTTGATATGGCAAGATTTACGACCAACTCCAAAAATCCATCAGCAGACTTAAAACAAGCAATTCACTTAACGCTTTCCAGTACCGATGGAGCAAGAAATCCTCTTTAATGATTTTCGTTTACAAGTTAATCATACTTTAAAACTGTACACCATATAAAAACAATTAAAATATGCAAACATATGTATTGTTTTAAGAAACAATTACAAAATAGATCAGATACTGAACTGCGTTAATGGAGATTGCCTGAAGAAGAGGACGTCTTCTTAATATTCAAAGCAAGATGATGTCATGGGCTGGTTACTGACAGATGAATTAATCCACGGGTGATTGGTGGTCATATGGATATACATATGCTAAGCGATCCATTCAGGGCTGATTAGTGCACAAAATTGGTTGTGCATGGCTGCACTCCGGGAAGGAGCATATAATAAAAATAAAATATGACCCGCGACGTTATTTCTACTCCAAATGTAACAGTGTAGAATTGGCACAACATGAAAGACCGAACCGTGTAAAATGTATGCCTATAATCTAGGTGGTGACCCAAGATTTTATATGGCGGTATTCCTGAATTTTAAAAGGCGGTGTATCTAAATTTTGGGGGGGGTGGAATGCCTAGTCAGAGCTAGTCCAAGTTCTGAAACTGCCTGACTGGGCATTCCACATGGCAAGTTCTGAAACTTGCAGACATGAATACATGCGAAAGCTAAAGAGTTCAATTACATGTAATACGAATTAAAAAAAAAGACGAGCTTCTGAGTTTTCAGGACAAAAACCCCCGGCTGCGGTTCGAATGATTTGTAACTTATCATGATGCAATGCATTTTGCCGCAAAAAAAAAATAATCTAGAATGGATTCCTTTGAAACGGCGAATGTCGTTTCGACATAGATGAATTGTACAAACTTCCGATCAAGGAATATGCTGATCATAATTCTTCTATCGTTCTAAGTGAGTACCTACTTTCAATTTTCATGCAATTTATTCTAAATTTCAATTATAAAAATATGACAGGTGACAAAAATTTTAAATGTGGTACGATAGATACTAACATTTCCAGCTTCTATCATTTCTAGTCCATGAAGACAACTAAATATCTTCTGACAGTGAATTCGTTTGAACAAAATACATGAAATACGTTTATTACTTACCAAACACGGCATATGTCTCGCATGGCGACGGCTGTTGACGGCCAAGATGAAGATGGAGTTGACAGTTAGGACGATGACAGCGACCAGAACCGTTACCGCGGCTTTGACGATGTCTACGACGCCAGGAGTGTCGGGGTGGTGGAACGTGGTCGACCAGCAGGAAAAGTTTGCTACGTCCGGGGGCATTTCCGTCTCGAACTTGTTTTTTTCTTCTCACTCTCTCTTTTTAAGGCTTTTTTTTAACCTTGGTTAGCTCAGGGCAGTCGTTTTCGGACGCGACTGGACATACGACACTTTATAGCACAAGATCATTAGGGTTATGGTGTGGGGACAGTTACAGTATGGTTAGTTGAAGCAAGGGCGGCCTGGTTGTGACTGTAGACAAAGTTTTAGCACTCAATTCACTTGCACTTTAGCATTTAAACTTAAGTTTTCTGTTCCGCTACATAACATTTTAATTAAATGAATTTTGGGGGTTTCACTGGTAGCGATTTAATAAGGTGAATGCAATTTTTATGGAAGTGCTTGTTTCATATCGATGTTCTTATTGCAAGCCTATATAGTATGTCGTTCACGAATTCTGTCGACATTTTTTTAGCACCGGCTATTGTTTATAAATAACGCTGTTGTATAGTTGAGGAGTGTTTACAACTAAATGCTAACAGCTACAAAAAATTAATCTCACTATAAAAAATGAACGTCTGTAAACAGAAATTATTTTTAAAAGATGAATACAGTACAATGGAAAATTATAAACCAACTGAATATCTTCCACTGTTTTACAAAAGTTATACATCCACTCTTATAATCATTGATTTAAAAAATTCATGACTCCAACATTTTTTTTATACAAGTCTGTCTATGTTGTGCATGAAGCAATATATCCGTATATTCATAATTTTATAAAAAAAAAACAAAGAACGGTTTCTAGAATAAACTTGATAAAATATCTCGAATAAATTTACATCTACCTAATTTCGGTCAATTTTAAACTAAACTTCCAACAACACAAATCTAAATAATTTTGAGCTCGAAATTCATGACTACAATTCTCCAGCTTCGCAACAACCGAGCGTCGGTCCAATGTTGGGAATTCTATCGATAATTTCCGAGGACGTTAATAGCGTTAAGGTCTTCGTAATTGCATTATGAATCGATCACTTAATGTAGCTTGCCTTGTGTGGGTCCAGAATGATGCACGAGCTTTGTAGATTTCAAACACAGAAAGGCAATGAATTATAATGGACAGCATAATAATTCTAAAACGTTTACCGTAAGCTGCAGATGACGTAATATGAACAGGAAAATTGTATTGTTAGGAAGGCAAATACAGATCACAGAAAATAGAACGTGGGAACTTCATTGTTATTGCATACAAAATAAAAGATTTAGTTGCGTTGTTCGCCAAATTTGTTAAAGCACAATGAGAATAACCGTACTTTCTCTATTCTAGAGAAGGTTCATTCATCCCAATTATGATCCTGTCTGCGTTCGCACGACTCACATCAGCAGCAACATCAGCCGAAGACTGGAGTAGCGAGAGGCACCAGATAGCAAACATTACAGCTGGCATAGCTCCAGTTTGTTGGAATTCCCTTCCTTCAGATTTGTCTCTTCCTCTCGATCGTCTGGTCTCTTGTTGCTCTAACACAGCAGCTCGCTTGTAAGCGCCGTCCTAACGGCCTTACTTTACACTTCATCGCTGCCTTGAACACGGTACTTGGGAAAAGGTCTTCAGAAGGAAAATAGGCCTATGTCTTTCATGCTTGAGAATATGAGGGTCTTCCTGCGTTTCAAAGACGTTTGAATATGCAAACTATGGCGTAAAAAAGTTGCGTCTTGTCTATTGAGTCAACGATTGCGTTTAGGTCATGCGTTTGAAATAAAGATTTGTATCGCTAGGACTGCAGGACTTGAAACTTTAGAAATATCTTAGTTTACATTGATTTCACTTAAAAAGTAATGACTAAATATCGAAAAGAAGAAGGTGTAATTCAACGATAACGAAGTCTGGAACATTGAAATATATAAATTGATATGTATTGACCCGAGATAGTCAGAACTTCTGTATTTATGGGCAACTTGAAGGATGCCCTTTCATCTTTCGATGATGCCCTTTCGCACAAAGTCCCTAGTCGACATAAAATTACAGCACAAAATATTATCCAAATATTGGTAGCAATTTTTTTAGTTGTTCTATCACTGAAGTCATTTGCTGTGGGCGGAAAATTTTTCGGCTAACGGCACAGTTTTTGGTACAAGACAAGATTTAAAATGAGACTTTGTTTGGGTGCAGGCAAGTTTTGTCTGCAATTTAGCCCGGCCAGGCAATTAGGCTTAGAGTGGAAGCGCTTCTCAGGAAGAGGTCCTTCTCGTCTTTCGGGTAAGCAGAGACCTGCAAACATTCTTGCCACAGACTCGGACAATATTCAAAGTCAAGAAATTGGCCATTCCAAAGAGTTCAAGAATCTTGCAGGACGAAACTTCTGATTTTTTCAAAGTATGGCTACCGTGCCGCATTCAAGTATTTTTCTCTGACAATTTTTGAAAAATGGAAAAACTTTCTAGTAACGAGGAAATCTGACCAGTTACTAGAGGTTGGTGGGATTCATTTACCAGACAGGTTTCATGTCAAAAGTTGTTAAAAATAAATAAGCGACGTCAATCGTTATCCTCGACGGTTATATCTACGCGATGAGGGTTTGAAAAGAAAATTTATTTGCGCATTTCATTAGAACATTTCATGATTTAAAAGTCTGCGAGTTACATATGTTTAAATTCAGAAAAAAATAATTTCAATGCAGTTCAAGAAATTATACTATTTTACCTGTACTGATCTTACATGTTGCATTTCTAAGTAATCAACAGTGACCAAGTTATCTCGGTCTCCAGAGAATGAAGTATTACACATTATCCATTTCTGTAGCTCGGGCGTATGGACCTAGCGGTCTCTTCCGACCGCGAGGATCATACATTATCCATTCTTTGTAGCTCACGCCGACCCAACAGTCTCCGGTCCAAGAGAGGAGCAGACAACAGCGCGTTCCCCTCACTTAGCGAGACGAGATTGAGGGGCGTTGGGCAGACCGTTGACACTAACGGTGCTTGAGACGAATGGCGGCGCAATCTCAGGGGTCCGTACGAAGAACACGGCAACTCCGCGGCAGCTAACGGCGACGTCAAAAAAGAACCAATCGCAACACGACTCGTGGCGACCCCCAAATTCCTGGTCCTAAATGGAACGTCTTCAAGCAATCCGGCAAAAAAATGCGGAAACATAGGGAACGGAAATAAACGACTTGAAAGCGACGAACAACGAATGTAGTAAGTTCTCAAACACATTAAATACATATATACCTAAAGGTAAATCATTCAGTTTTTAAAGAATTAAGACTACTTTTTTGGCAAGGTTTAATGAAATTTCTTTTTTTGTTCCTGAATTCGTCAGGCAATAAATTATACAACGCTGATATCAAAGTCATTATGAAAAAGTTAAATCAACGATAAAACATTTCGCCTAATTCAGGCATTTAGTTGATAGCGACGAGATCAAATATTTCCCGCATTTGTCTACTTGAGAAAAATCAAAACGTTAGGAATTATTGATCTGAAGCAAGCAAGTATAGACGAGTAGATTCATCAAAAAGCGCACTAATAAGTTAGTGATATTTCTTCGACAAATTCATAAACAGATAAATGAACTGTTTAATTTATGATAATTCGTTCACTTTCATTACCAACCCAAATAATAACAAAAAAAAACATATATTAAATAATTCCAAATATTAACGTAAGTTACGATATTAATTAGGCAGTTATTCAATATGTCGGAAAGGAAGTAGATGGTAAAAAATCTTCCAACCAAATATATACATGCGAGGAGAGACATTATAACGAATAAACTTCTTACGTTTCCTTAGCATACCAAATGAAAACCGCTTTCATCCATTTTAGAAATTTATCATCAGAGATCTAAGTAACGATCAAAAAGTCAATAAAGTAAGTTAAGCCCAACTACAGCAAGAAGCGCGGCAAGAAAATTTTCCCCCAACGCATCTCTTTTTGAATACCTCCAGGCATTTTTCTCTTGCGCACTTCCGCTTCCAAACTTTCATCTCCTGCCAGGCCTTCGGGACAATTTAGAAAGCACGGCTTTCATTTTGCTCCTGATTTAAGATGCGTGAAAAATGGAGCTCGATGAGTAATGGACGCGTGCAGGAGAATAACTGGTCACGGCTGTCGAGTTTGATCCTCGAGCTTCCACAGATGTATTACAACGTTCATATTAAAAGCTTGTGAATCATTCCTATCTCAATAATTTTCATAGTAGGAATAGAGTATGAAAATTTTAATTTTATGTTAGTATTACTATAAGGAAACAATTGCAATAATAATAAAATCTCATTTCGGAAGATAGATAAAATTTGCATTAATTAGTATTGAAGTGCTTGTACGGAATATTTATTTACTTAGAAATCAACCCAAGTCAAAGCTGGAACTTGGAAGTTAGATAAACGTCAACCCAAAAGACGCGATCAAATGCCACAAAAACCTCCTATGCGCGCCAAAAATCTGTTACAAACCTCAAAAGATTCATATGCTCGATGTGACTGGGAAAGCTGATCAATGGGTCATCTTCCTCATCAACGCCCAAAGAAATCTCGGCCGTGTCATCGAAACTCGGTGATCTAATTTCAAGTTCATTTGAAATGTACGATGTAAACACCAAGACGTCTTCTCTATAAACTGGACTAGTCGGCGCCATCATTAGAATTAAAATTAATTGTACTGGAAGGTAACGCCTGTGATTATGATAAATATTAAAGCAGCACACAGATGAACAGATTTAATACCAGCAAATTCACAAAGATTTCATTGTAGAGCAAACATTTTTCTCCGCAAGCATCCACGTCGAGCCTACAAAGGAGGCTTCCTCCGTTCGATCATTTCCGCTCACATTGGAGGAATTTTGGTCTGTGGAAACCGAACGAAGATTAGGCAGCTGAGCCACAAACTATTCATCTACCGCTTGGTTGACTGCCCGCCAATTCTTTGAGTCCTGCTAACAGACAGGACTCAAATACGGGGCTGAATTACTGATAAGGAATCAATAATTACTATTACAATGCACCAAACGTACACGTTGTGGTAATCTGGTACCATTCTAGTTAACTAGTTTCAACGATTGCCTGGCCTAATGACGTGGATTATTTGCCATGCAATTTCACCCTTGACAGCGATAACAGAATGCGGTAAATATATTCTTCAAATTAGCGTTTAGAGTATGACTCACTTCTTCGAATTTTTAAAAAGGCGTAAACTACATCAGTCATATTGAACATAAAATCCAAAGTCATATTTCACATGAACTTTTCTTCGAATTTTACTCACTGGTCGTTCTTAGAACTCGGATTAACACGGAGCGCTTGCCACCTACTTCTACGGCATCCAGAGCGCAACTAACTGAGAATTGTGCCTTGCACTTTGCAGTTGCAATAATTTTAAAAAATGTTAAATGGAAATGTCATAGGATCAAACAAAATTAGATTTAGTTAGTTTATTATTATGATTTTGGAACAAGCACACGGTTATAAAAATCTGAAAACTCTAATGAAAACTCTAAGTCTTTAGAGTTTAGACGAAAGAGATATTTCTGAACAAGTACAGTTGCCAGATGTGGCCACCGTCGACAACTCGCCAAGGCCATGAAGCTATCCAAAAAGTGTAGGACATCCAGCTGAGGCAAAAAGCTCCATTCAGACGGCCGCGTGTAGGAAATCAGGCGGGGTTTTATGCAATTCACTTGATGCGAGGAACATTAATTTTGTTGCAACGACAGTTTAATATTTCTTGCAACGCTTTTTCAATTCAATGTACAGCCAGATGAACTCAAGGTTTTAAAGTTATTTGAAAAGAATATTTCTCACTGATTATACATATATTTATTAATGCCTGAGATAGTGAAGTCTTAAAAACCTTGCACCATATTTTCAACTCCAAGATGCAAAAAAATTCGCATTCTCTACTGATGCAACTAACACATTTTATATAAATCGGTATTAATTGACAGAGTCTAAAAATTCAAATATAGTAAGAATTCGTAAAATCAAATTTAATAATAATTTAACAAATTTGTTTTGCACGAATTTGATTTTCGCTGCAGTGATTTCAAAATTTTCAATTAATTGCTTTCGTCGATTGGGGGATCCCATGCAGCTCCCAAGCCTTGTACAGTGTAAGCAGTACGTCATAGTTTTAAATCCTTAACAATAATTTAATTAATTGCACTAAAAACATGTACATGAATTCCTTTTCTGCTCATGTTAATTTAGAAAGCAGGATTTCTCGAATGGCATTTAAGGTATTCTTCAAATAGGAACACAATTAGGGCATCAAATAAAATGAATTTAAAACGAGTGAACAAAGTTACTTTGCATTGAAAGAAAATTACGAAATAGTGAACAAATAAACCATGCATTCAATATTAACATAGATTTGGCTTCGGATACAAGCTGTTTAAAGAATAGTTAAGACTCGGTTTTCTCTGCCAATAAGAAATTTAATAGAAAATAATTATTATAGAAACTAATGACGAACATGATTATTTATTCCCTAAGAAATAATTAGAAGACTAAACTTTCCCGTCTGTCGGCTCTAGTGCATTAAGAAAATTAAATGAGTCTTATTGTACCAATAGTAATACACATTCTGCACAAATCTCTGATACGCCCTCTTGGCAGGCCAAACTTTTTCACGATGACGCGCACAGCAGCAAAAAGTGCGTTGCTATTTGAACAAATCCCACTCTTATCTCTGAGTGTGTGCAATATGCATGAAATGTTGCGCCATTGCCGCTACACCCGAAAATGGGCTAAGGAATTTAACTGTGCGAAGAAGAGGAATTGAAGAGGAATTGAGGAATTTAATTGTTTGAAGGCATGTGACTGATGATGTACGGACACGTTTTGGTCCTATACATTCTTTGTCCTCTTGTGCAGTTGAAGGCTTCGGCGAATAGAGGCTCATTCACCAGGGCAAGGTTTACTCTGGAATAAAGAAGAAACAAAAGGAAGGTGACGATGTGACGGTCTGAATGCAATTTAAATTATTGACAACTCACCACTAGATGCTGTAGCAGTATGGTGCCGGACTATTGAAACTTTTCTCGTGTATACTTAACATGTTGCAGTGGATTTTTCGTCTGTGATTGTCGGGTTGTGCATGGCTGACGGTATTACGAAGTAGTAATTACTCTCATTTTTATTACTTTTTTATCATTAGCATGGCCTGTGGTAGGTTAATGACTTCTATAAACTTATGTAAATCTCACTAAAATCGACTTATCGGACCAGAATCTTTGCATTTTAGCCAGAGTGTAAACTACCTATAAAGTCTACGGACATTCAAACGAACATTCAATTACTCCTCCCATCAACCAGCTTCAATTTTTTTCTCCAACCAATCATTCGATAGTTACTAAGTGGAGAAAAAATATGAAAAATCATTACAAATCTACTACAAAACAGGATTAAATCTGTTCAATATTTTCGTTATATTGGTAATGAGATTGTGAACCCAGGAAATAAGTAAATTTAAATAAGCCCTTTTAACTCTAATATTCATATCCCATAGAACTATAAATTTAAAAAATGAGGTATAGTGATAAAAATATTACCCTAAGATGAAAACATTACCCTAAGGCAATTTTGAGAGCGCAGTCAAGCCTGAAATCTTGCTTTGATCAGACCGCGACCCAATCTCAGTCATCTCAGGATGAAGTGCTTCCGGTGCTCCCCATGCATTCATTTTCCCTCAACTCCCCTTCCTTACTCACACCCCGAGGATTTTTTCAGGTGAAATTTCTTAAATTTATGTGCAATTTAACTGTTTATGATATACAGGTGCTGTTTGACTGAAAAATCGTATCGTATACAAAAATATACTCGGAACTGACACGAAAATTTCCAAAACATGTGTTATTTCTATTGTATTTATTTATATCTGTCGAGTGCTGTAAATTAAATAGAATTTGAATAGCTATTATGAAATATCCCTTTAATTTATTTCTAAAGTCAATAGTTTTTACGAATATTATTAAAATATTTACTGATTTTATTATAATCCAATAATAAAGTATTCTTACCGAAGTCGAGACGGCAAATGTTCTCGTTCTTTGATGTCCAAAATGTCCAGTCGGCTCGAGGCGGCACACTGGGACTGCAAACAATGGTTTAGTTGAAAAAATTGCCATATCGATTACTTATGACAAATTACACTATGGCTCAAACGACCCACCAAGAGCTACGGAGAACAGGTTTCAACACAAGTGCTAAGTTATGCTAAGTTTAAAAAGGTAATAAAGCATTAAACGAAATTTCAGCACCATCTTTGCAATTATTAATCGAACATTGAAAAAAATCTATTTCATATAATATACATGAGCACGAGTTTTATATTCATAGGTTGATTAAAAGTACCGGAGCTGCTGAAAACTTGAAAAGAATTCACTTCATAAAAAAACATGAACATAGGTTCAATGATAAGGTTCCCGAACCGTGCGGAGTAGATAGAGCTGGTAGGGGTTCATTTTTAGCGCATTTTCTCATTTATGGAAAAAATGCAGTATTGTGCTCGCCATATCCGTCTGTCCGTTCGTCTGTCTGTCCGTCCGTGACTTCACGTTTTCGTCGACGAGAAAATGCGCTCTCTGTCACTCATTACAGTGAGTGACAGTTATATTTCTAGGTTTAATGATTGAAGGTACCTGCGCCGTGCGGAGTAGGTAGAGCTGGTAGGGGCTCATTTTTAGCGCATTTTCTCATTTATGGAAAAAAGCACTATTGTGCTCGCCATGTCCGTCTGTCTGTCCGTCCGTCTGTCCGTCCGTCTGTCCGTCCATCTGTCAGTCCGTCTGTCCGTGACCTCAAGTTTTCGTCGACGAGAAAATGCGCTCTCTGTCACTCACTGCAGTGAGTACTGAGTTATATTTTTTAGGTTTAATGATTGAAGGTACCTGCCCCGTGCGCAGTAGGTAGAGTTGGTAGGGGTTCATTTTTTAGGTTTAATGATTGAAGGTACCTGTGCCGTGCGGAGTAGGTAGAGTTAGTAGGGGCTCATTTTTTAGGTTTAATGATTGAAGGTACCTGTGCCGTACGCAGTAGGTAGAGTATGTAGGGGTTCATTTTTTAGGTTCAATGATTGAAGGTACCTGTGCCGTGCGTAGTAGGTAGAGTTGGTAGGGGCTCATTTTGAGCCACGGCAGACGGTGTTCAACGGAGGCGGTAATGGGGCGGTGATCAGGTTCGTTTCGACGTCTGAGACTTGGAGGTTGGTAGGGGCTCATTTTGAGCCACGGCAGACGGTGTTCAACGGAGGCGGTAATGGGGCGGTGGTCAGGTTCATTTCGACGTCTGCGACTAGGAGGATCTGTGACGAACTCTAGAGGTTTGCCTGCCATGCCAGAACAATGCAAACATGTTAATTAATTAAAATAAAATTGTCTGTCAATTTTAGTAAGCTAAATTGGACAGCTATTTAGAATGTTATCGATTCTGTAAAAACTAGGGGACAAATTTTAGCTATTTTTACACTAAGAACAAATATATTCGTATGTAAGCTACTAGATTCTAACGTTCATGGCTAATCGCACACTATAATTTACGTTCGAAAAATTAAAAGTAAATTATCAGATTTGTTACGTTTCGCTATGCCAGTTTTGCATTTTAATAATAACTTAAGCAATCGGAATAATTAGAAAGCCAACAATTATTAACCTAAAGTCTCATGTTTTGTTTTTATAATTATTCTATACGAGGATTCATTTACAGAATGAATTTAACTACAAACCAAATATCAGAGTGACAATTTTAAACATTTTTAACATACGTTCTTTGATGAAGCTCAAATTTTTCGTTTGCATGAGGATCCGTATGCCAGAAGTTGAGTTTAAAATTATTGAAAATTGAAAATTTCTTTCAGAATGAATGGAAACATTATTTACCTCATTTAACTCCTAGATTTAGGTGCGAACGAGAACAGTTATAATGAATATTAAAGGAAGTCTAATGAGTGCGACGCATTCTTACCTGCCTCTGCGCTAGCGCCATGAATGTAAGCCAGCCAAGCCAGTCTCGTAGCGCCCGTGTCAACCATAAGTTCGTTCAGTTTCAGATCTACAGGGAACTGAACATAAAATAAAAGTTAGTTAACAATAAGAAAATTGATTTTAGGTCTACCGAAAATTTATCAAAATATGCTTTTCGATTTTACCTATAGAAGGAAATAACAAGAAAATTTTCAATAAAGCTCATTCTCACGATATAAATCAAACCTGTTTCAAGTAACAAATTCTACCATCCTATACAAATAAGAAAATATACACGCATTTAATGCAACTATATGATTTCGCGGATATAAAATGATATGAATACAATCATTATATAAATGGATGAATTATGGCGTCAAACACCAATATTGGTTACTGCAAAGGAATGATGTTCAACATCAAAGAAACGCTTTTGAAAATTAACAATGACAAGGATTATTTACTGTAAAACGGAATTGGATAACATATTTATGCCATTTTTAGTTTGATTCCTAAAAAGTAACAACAATGTAAACGTAAGCTGAGTATAACCTTAAAGCGAGCTATAGCAGAGTCTTCTACTATGAGCGAGAAGGTTGTGTTCTTTAGAAGTCCTGAGAAGCAATTCTCACGCAAGTTCATCCCCGGTGGTCTTGGTACCTCAGTGCCGAGAAGCCCGTCGAATTTAATGCCTGAGAATCGCATGATAATAGATCAGTATCAAGTAGAATAGAATGGAACAGTATCTTGAAATAAATACTGTTTGTGATAGATAAAACTGTTTAAGGAACACGATTTAAATATATAATAAACCACTTTCCTTGCCGGAAGCAGGATACTTTCTGTAAAAATTCTATTTTAATCTTGTGGAAATAATATTAAACCATGTTTCTTGGAAGTGATATTATTGAAATGCAGTCATGTTGAAAATTTTTGAAATATTTCTATTCTATACTAAAATAGCTAGATGACAATATAACAACATGGTAAAGACGACAATATTTTATTGCGTTTTAATTGCCAATTCATGATACATACATAAATGCGACGAGTAGTAGCACTATACCAAAATTGAAATATTTCATCGAATACCTATAGAGAAATTTTTTCGTCATTTGTAGCATTATATTCAGTTGTATGCAATGATTCATATAATGGAACTAGGACGAAATTTCTAAATAGATTCCAATTCTTCCCGTGATATTTTTAATTTGACCTGTAGTATCGACTGCGTGCAGGAATTCATGCGCCACCAAATGACCAATCCCAGCGAAGACGACGTAGTCCGGCAATTGTGTCAATTTCGGATACAAGAACGGCGCGGTCATCACAGCTTCTGGTATGACTGCACGACAATGAACGAACGCTTCAGTCACAAAGTCGGGCAGATTTTTTCACAGTTTAGGAATTAATTAAAGTGATGATGGAGTGGCATTTCAATCAAAAATGGCAACATGTGGTAATTTATAATTATCAGTTGAATTATACTTATTTCTACAATAGCCGATGATCCACATACAGAAACAAGACTCACGTATCGAATTAGTCCCATAGAGCGTGATAGCTGTTGTACTGAAGGGGGCACTGAAGAGGTTCCACCTGTAAATTCAGTCATGAAATTATGCTTAATTTCATTCCTGAGATGTATTACTCACTTTCTTCAATTAATAGTCTTAAAATTAATAAAAAGTGCCACATTTTAAAATTTGTATCGAAATTACTAAAATTTTCATTGCTTCACAAAATTTAATACTCGACACTGAATTCAAATGATAAAATCGAACTCTGACTACAACTTAAATAAAAACTAAAATTTACGATAACTACTAAATGATACCCTGCAAGACCCGGTAATTTGAATGAAGTTTAGGTGCAGTGAACTTCATTTTATGCTGCATGATAGCAAGCAACATTCCAGTAGAGACATCCAGCATTTCAATAGAGTAGCAAGCATCATTGTACGTTAGAACTCACATGGCTATGTGCCCTGACGTTTGTTGGCTGAGAACGTCGTACATGAGGCGACGTCTGCGTTGCAGTAGTGTCAGGACATTGTCTATGTAACTATCTTCAATAAACAGCTGCACACGGTCAGGAATAGATTAAAGAAGTAATAATAATCGGATATTACACAGGATGACAAGAATCTTCGAAAATACGTTCACTAGTGCCATGTAAGTAAACGCAATCCGTTTCAGGAAATGCATCGATCATTGAAAAGGTCGGTGAAACGATGAAATTTTCGTGGTACTAATAGAATCCAAATAAAATAGTTGAATCAATAAAAAACTAAGCAAATATGCCCTACAACAGATGTAAATAATAATTGTTTTATTCTTCGAACACACAATTGATTAGTACTATAGCCGCCATCAAACACTCTTAAGTTTTTCGTTGATTGTTAGCTATTTTGTTTTTGTCAAATATGGTTTTTATTTTGTCAAATATGGTTTAATTTGTTTTTCTGTTATCTATTTACAAGAATATATTGCTCAAAGGTAATACGAAGACAGGCTCTGTTCTAAGTTAAGTTCAACAAAGATGAATCATCCTGAGTATTAATAACGTATAATAATTTGAGGGCGGTCGACCAAAGAAATTGAATCTTTATAAAATTTTCACCGTGAAAAGAAGCTCTGCGATTCTGGCTGTTTGTCAGTATGTCTTTACATATTACCCTATGCTATAAGTTCCTTATAATTTAAACATAGATTTCTATAACGAATCGCTGGTTGATTGTTAAAAGAATTATTTTGCTACACTCATACCAATAACAAGATACTGATAAATATATAATTATTTGGTTACTGGACCGAATATTTCATCACGATATCAATAGTTAAACATATGCAGTATATTGCATAACCCCACCGTCTCCGTAGCGGCTGAAACATTGTGGCTGAGAAGTTCCAGGAATTCTGTAGCTCCCACTTGAGTGAAGGTTCTACTCAGCTTGTCCCTGAGATCCCATGACGCTCCTAAGGTTCTTTCCAGCACCGCAGACACCGTCTTTTTGATGCTGTCAACCACGCTCTGTACCTGTTTTATGCATATTTGAAATTGAAGTTTTATTTGAAACGTGAGAAAAAATGTGTGATGCCTTAAGTTGAGTTGTATTTGAGTGATGAAAATCTTAGTGGCTCCCACAAACACTGTTATCGGAGGTTTAAAAGTCTAGTTTTGTTATTTGTGTATATGAAATGTTATTACTCAAAATTATCTGTTGATTTATTTTGCCAAATTAGTTAAGTGGGGGTGAATTGAGTTTTCGAATTATTGTCACAGGTATCGCAATGTAAAGGCATATATTTAAAAATCCAGATAATGCAATTTTTAACGGACGTGATAAATTGTTTTGAAAAAACTAATCGATAACTAGCAATTATTATGAGTCCATATATATAGCTATGGTATCGGAGAACATGAAATGGTAATGAACATTTGGGCAAGAATCAAACCTGCTTATATGATCAAATTGAGGATTTCTTTACCTGATAACAATAGCATCGCACGAGATTTTGACACAACTTTGGTAAGCTCTACTCATACACACATTTATTAGTTCATCATTTATATCGACCTTGTGACTCATGGCCTCCAGCTCGAGGACTGAGAATGTCCTCAAGAACATCTCTGCCGCGATGTCCGGCATGAAGAAATGATTAACATATGATTTTATCATTAATATCGACCTTGTGACTCATGGCCTCCAGCTCGATGACTGAGAATGTCCTCAAGAACATCTCGGCTGCAATATCCTGCATGTTGATATGATTAAGATATGAATTCATCATTAATATCGACCTTGTGACTCATGGTCTCCAGCTCGAGGACTGAGAATGTCCTCAAGAACATCTCTGCCGCAATATACGGCATGTTGATATGATTAAGATATGATATCAACCTTGTGACTCATGGCCTCCAGCTCGATGACTGAGAATGCCCTCAAGAACATCTCTGCCGCAATATCCGGCATGNGACTGAGAATGTCCTCAAGAACATCTCGGCCGCGATGTCCGGCATGAGGAACTTGGTGGCTGGGACGCAGTAAGCGGGGCTGCTGGGGGGACCTTTGCCCTCAGGGGCCACGAAGTCCGTGTACAGACGCGTCCCCCACAGCATCAGTAGCTCGTTGCGGAGCTTTGCTGGGATTTCCGCTCTGAAATTCATAAATTATCTTATTAATTTTCACAGTCTTAGTAGTTATCTTTGGAAAATGTAGAATCCTGAAGTTCATAACTTATCTTATCCATTTTCATGGTCTTAGTTATCCTTGGAAAATGTTTTGTTGTACTTTATAACTTGTAATTGGAATTATAGATACACCATTGTAATCATTCCTAGAGTGTATTTTCAGATTCAGAGATTACCTCTTGGAATGGGCAAATAGTGAATATGGTGTATCAAATGCACTCATAATGACATACGATGTGAAAACGAACTAGTGTAAATATGATTTCATTCTTCACACAACCCAGAGTCCATTACTTTAAACTATCGTTTGCCCTATTGTATAATAATTTTTCGTATGATATTATTGATAAAAATCAAAATTTCAACAATAAAATAAAGAAGAAACTTACTCTTCCCCGACTCTTTTCATGACGTTCCTGAGTTCTTCTTCGTGGTACACCTGAACTCTGTTCACCTTCCGCCCGACCACGGACTCTAGGAACGACGACCAGTTGATCTAAGACAACCACTCAGAATTAAACAAAATTAAGGGTATATATGAGAACAGGCCGTTTGAATATCTTTTAAAATTTGTCCTCATATTTACTAACAACAAATTTAAAACGCGTCACTAGAGTCTCCTGTGTGGAATTATTTCTTAACTCAATGCACAAGTACGTAAAATACAGTAACTCACAGTATCAAACAGTAACTCACAGCATTAGACAAAATATCGCTGGCATCGAGGTCTTCGGTTGTATACTCTGTGAAATTTTTGTTCAGGATCGCGTGGCGGATCTCTGACGGCATTGGGAGGTATTCCTGATAAATAAGGCACAAAAAGTTAGATATATAAAATAAATAACTAAATAAATGCCTTGTCACCCATGTGTACTGTTGAGTGTCCACAGCTTCAGTTACTTTCTCTTGGAAAACTCTTTGCCTACTTATGAATTTTTTACGGCTAGTGAAAAAATTGTACCACAATAAGATGCACGAACGAGGTTCTTTTGTAATCCGTAGACTACTCATATATGGGTATCATTATCAGGCTTATTAACTTACTCTAATGTCTTTCAGAAGAAATTCTGTTTCAATCGCCGTTTCTGTGATGAGTTTTACGGCGTCTTCCTTTTTCGTTATGTGAGCTGTCAGGTTCAGAGCGACAACCGCTTGCTTCAGTCGCCGCACCAGAGCACCCACGCCCTCCTTCACCGTCTGCATCAATAGAAGAATTAAATTTTAGCCATCATAATAATGGGTTATTAATCTCAACCACTATAAATAAAAGGTTCTCTAAATCCACCCGCCAGTTATTTGATGCATCTTAGTGTCCAGAGAGTTTAGATCAATGGAAATTCACTTATATATTTGATGAGTGATTTTTCTAGCTTTAATTTAGACTTGATAACATTCAAAATTTGTACAATAAGAATTTTTTACCATGCAAACTCGAAGTTTTTCGTACTCCTCGTTGAGATCGATATCAGCCTTGACCCTGATGGCTTCATCGAGCTTGTCTTCGTACTGAGCGATGCAGTGTGCCGAGTCAACTGACTGACTCAAGCCTGAGTCAAGTCCGTTCACAGGGAACGTAAGGCGAACCGAAAACTCTTGCAGGTGTTTGCGGTCCACGTCCACATCGACGTCAAAAAACAGTGGGCTGAACAGAATAAAGGCAACGTGAACTTTAGTACATGATAACTCTAACGTACTAGTTTCTTAATACTATTATACTGAAAGTTATAAATGAAGAATTTGTTAATTTAGACTTTATTACAAATATTATTGTAGACACAGTTTTGCTCACAAGTCGTGTTTTATGAAGTCAGCGAGCATTTTCTCCAGACTGAAGACGTCTTCATCGATGTAGCCGTACTGCTTCTGAAGGTCTGAATCCTCAGGAGTCCTCGGGTCCAACAGTCCATACTTGTTCACTTCGTCTCGCAGCTTCGCAGTAACCTTCAAACAAACGTGTAATGACCTTCAAACTAATGTTTAGTGACCTTCACACAAATGTATAATGACCTCCAAACTAACGCGTTGTAACCTTCAAAACAAACGTATAGTGATCTTCAAACAAACGTATAGTGACCTTCAAACAAACGTATAGTGACCTTCAAACAAACGTATAGTGACCTTCAAACAAACGTGTAGTAACCTTCAAATCAAACGTATAGTGTCCTCCAAACAAACGTGTAGTGACCTTCAAACAAATAGCTTTCCATATCTGTATCCGTATCCCATGTCTATCAACGTGATATCAACACATCGGAGAGACGAAAGTGAAATTCATAATGGAATAGTGAAGACGATTTATTCAATACATTTTCGATTTCAATATCGTAGCTTTGCATGAATCTCAGTAAGTTTATACGTATGAATATACTTTTATAATGAAACCATTTCTGAAAATACATGTTTGAAATAGCTGCGGTATCAGTAGCCCGTGTGAGATAGCGTCACAATGCGCTCATAATTTTTCTGATTATTTTTCTAGCCTAGTTGATACCTGAATTGACATGTCTTTTGGAGTCTTGAAAGAAACATGAATATCATTAAAACAGCCGAAATGGAAGAGGATTGTAATTGTCTTCATTTTGCTTGGAAAGAACTTTTCTCACCATGATGGGGACTTGAACAAGTCAACTCTTTAAAAATAAATAGTCGCTTTCTTTTAAATAGTTTTAATTTAATTTTTTCTTAATTGTTTAGCGAATTTGCAGTGGCAAATGTTCAGGTACTTTAATTACTAACAGTTCGATCCATTAAAAGTCGTAAATAATTTTCGTGTAAATTTTCATAGATTATTTAGATTTAATTATGGCGGTCATACGAGTAACTACGATCCAGTTATATCCATAGGATATAAAAAATCCGCGAACTATTTTCATTTTAGTAATTATCACAGATTCTATCATAGATCGGAATTTGTAGTAAAAAGGATCATGGCTGTGTCAAGATCGTTAATATTTCGGAAAATTGAATTTTTTTCACAAACCATGGCTTTAGCGAAAATCGCTGCGTACTCTAACTCGAACCAAAACGGTCAATGACTTACTAGAACTGATGTCATCAAACTACAATAAAAATCGCTTGTACCCAACCTTGAAACAATAAACTGAGCGACAAATAATAATATTAAAATAAAATTATCTAGTTAACGATTGGGGAAATTCCTTGAAATACCAATTTGAAAAACATGAAAAATACGAAAATATGAAAAATTGGGCAGCTTGCATAATAATATCAATATATATGATGTATTTATCAATTAAACGCCCCCAACGATTGATGCTGGCGAAAGAAGACATGAAAATATAAAATCGATAAGTACGATAAAAAGTAACTTAGGATAAAAAGGACTACATCGTAGAAAACAACCGCATGTAATGAATAAATGAACGAAAACTAGACACAGTAGCAGTAAGTAACTAACGCGCTACCTTAAAAAAATATATAACTCAGTACTCACTACAGTGAGTGACAGAGAGCGCATTTTCTCGTCGACGAAAACGTGAAGTCACGGACGGACAGACAGACGGACGGACAGACAGACGGACGGACATGACGAGCACAATAGGGCATTTTTTCCATAAATGAGAAAATGCGCTAAAATGGATATGTGGCATCAACGAACATGAAAACTTACCTCAGGTAAGGGCGTTTGAGATTGAGACATACAACTCTTGAAGAAATCTTTTGCTAGTTCATGAGACGTAGGTCCATCGGTACTCGGCTGTCGCAGAATATCTGACAACCAAGGAAACTTGATAAAAAATCAAGCATTACTTATAGAAGTGAAATATTTTCAAACAAACCATTTTTAATTCTACTTATAGGTCATCAGGAATTGTAACAGACATCATTCGGCGGACTAACTTCGACAATGTTAAAATTATAACTAACTTAATTATTGATAACAATGAAGTTTATTGAAAAGTTCAAAAATAGTTTAAAACAAAATTTTAAATAATTCGCTTAGTTTGCATTTTTTTGTTCTTCTTTTAAATAAAACAAGTTTCAACTTCATAACGTTCTTAGTTTTTTATTTATTAACAAATTAAAAGGGTCAGTTAATTCTGGTACACCCTGTATTAACAATCATAATGAAATAAATTTTATTAATGTTCGGGAATAATATTAGTATACTTATATCGTAATAATGAAATATATTAGTATTAATGTAGATTCGATATAGGCATAAGACAATTAATGTGAGTAGGTGAGGCTGAGGTCACATGAGGCAGATTTATCGTTGCAAAAACTCACGATAACTTACGGCTTATCGTGTCATATGCAACTCACATCATTCTATTGCAACTCACTACACTTAACTGCATACAAATTTTATTCATCGTTCAACGTGCATCACTCATATCACTCCATGCACCACTCACTATCTGTAAATTTTATTGATTGTTAACCATTCGTCGCTTACATAACTCCATGCATCACTAATAACGTGGTTATTTTATTGATCACACACCATGCATCACTCACAATCTGTAAATTTTATTGATCGATAATCATTCGTCACTGACATCACTCATTTCCACCTCACAAAATTTTGTTTTATATAAATTTTAACCATCGATCACCATGCATCACTCACAATCTGTACACTTTAGTGATCGATAACCTTTCGTCACTGACATCACTCATTTCCACCTCAAATTTTTTTTTTAAATTTTATCCATCGTTTACCATGCATCACTCATAATCTGTACACTTTAGTGATCGATAACCATTCGTCACTCAAATCATTCATTTCCACCTCACAAAAATTTTGTTTTTCTGTAAATTTTATCCATCGTTCACCATGCATCACTCACAATCTGTACACTTTAGTGATCGATAACCATTCGGCACTGACATCATTCATTTCCACCTCACAAATTTTGTTTTTCTGTAATGATCGATAACCATTCGTCACTCACATCATTCATTACCACCTCACAAAATTTTGTTTTTTTTCTGTAATGATCGATAACCATTCGTCACTGACATTCATTTCCACCTCACAAAATTTAGTTTATCTGTAAATATTATTCATCGTTCACCATGCATTCTATTGAAGACTTGAGTAGCCGGATCCTCAGGGCGTAGAGATGTGCTGTCTTCAGTCCCCCCGCACGCATATTCGTAGAAATCCTGCAATAATTTCAAATAGCGAACTATTTTCACCACAGTTTTTTCATCTCCATAATAGTGAAAACGCGCATGAAAAGCTATACGGTGCGTAATGTTTTACTGTGGCTTAAAAATGTAAGATATGTACGAACTACTCTTTACAATCTCAATTTTCACTTGCGAATTAATCTGGTGCAGATCACCACTTATGGACACCACTCGGCCCCAAGACAACGAATTATAAACAAAGATAAATTAGATTATAGACAGTAGGCATCATTTATGAGAAGTAAATATATATTTACTTCTTGTATTTAAATAAATGTTTACATCTTTCTACGAAAATTAAAACAAAATCTTAGAGAGAACTATTTTGAGGCAATGATTTTTCGCAATTCATGTAAAAGAAGCTATTCAAAGCTATTAATTTTCCTATAAATAAAAAATATCGTTGCCAGGTTAAAAAGCCGGTTAGTATCAGTGATAACAATAACAATAAATTAAGTGTTCTGTACCTCACATGGATCAGCTTTATGGTTAATCATGTCCAGCATCCTGGCGGCGAACTGCTTGCAGTCAGGGTGGGTGCACTCATCTGCTGGCAAGGAGTGAATGTAATGATTTGGCAACGCTAAATGAACAACGGAACTGCGAGCAGAGATTGACAAAAGAAGACATGTAAATCTAAAACTTTTAGAGGCAGATATTATCAGAGTTTCAATGTTGTAAATTTAATAGTTTATCTCATTTAATTTCCAAGTATGTAATCGAGCATCAATTATTAAATGTATTAGCTGTTTAAGGTGATTAATCTTCTATTTTAAAATAACGATTCCGAAGAACAATCAAAAATACAATGAATTACCTTCCATCTCTATGGATTGTGTCTCATCAATCATTAGACTGGCGAAAGTTGTGAACGAACGCGTGGTTTCTGTGGTGCTTTCATCTCTCGTCGTATCGGCAAGCGTAGTGTTCTCTACGTCAGTCACCAGTTCCGTGACGTTAGTATATTCCATTTCAGTCGTTGTTTGGTTAGTGATGTCAATAATTTCGGTAGCAGTCTCGTTGTGAATTTCATCAAAATGATGAGTGCTTGACGTCTCGTTGAAAATTTCGCTCTCATCTGTACTTGCTGTTGTGGTATAGTTGACGTTTGTTTCGTTGTTTTCTTCGTCATACTGAGTTGACGTTTCGTTGACAATAATGATGGTATGTGCAGTGGTGGTCGAAGTGACGTCTGTTTGGTTGTACTCGTCCTCATAGTCGTGAATATCCGTATCATTGAGTATGGTGGAAAATGCTGTTGTTGTAGTTATTGAGAGCGTTGATGAACTGGATGTTGTTTCTGTTTGGTTATAGTCGTATTCTGAGCGATATTCTGTGGAGTGATCTTCACTTTCGTCAGTCACGTTCACGATGAGAGTTGTGCTTGTCGTCTCCGGAGAAAAACTCTCTTTTCCACTTCCCTCTGTCGTGGTTGACTCTTCACTGAAGTTTAATTAAGAAATAAAAGTTAAAAAAATTAAATGCATCAATTAAATAGGCTGGCACTGCAAAATTAGCTGGAATTAGAATTGTCTAATTTTGAACTTTAACCTAACCAAAAATATCTTTCAACGTTACATCGCATAGGACATAGGTGATCCGAATAAGACGGAAATTATAGGAGAAACGAACAAAATTCGATTTTTAGTGCTAAAATAGACATGAATCAGTACGGGAGCTAAAAAATTAAGCTACAACATTTACCGAAGAGAAGAATTTTTTTATCGTAGACTTACACAGTAGCTATGGTGGTAGTGTTATCGGTCTCTTCGAATGCAGTATCTTCATTTCCCGAAGACTCATATTCATCATAGTCAGGAGACGAGGTCTCGGTATCTATGTCAGTCTCGGGATACTTGCTGGTCGATTCTTCTGTAGTGTTGGTCGTTGTGGTGGACGCTGTACCTGTGCTCGCCGTGGTAGTTGATGTGGTTGTAGTGGGTCTGGTTGTATTGGTTGTGGTAGGTGTGGCTCTAGTTGCAGAAGATGTGGTCTCTGGCTCTTCAATGATGATGTCTTTAGGTGTGGTACCAGAGCTCTTACCACTTGCGAACTATTCGTAATAAAATAATGAAATATATATTAATATTAGATCCACACCATTGCGGCCTTCAGTGCAATGTGATGAAACCGAAACGATCGTAAAACTCACGAATTTTATGCATCGTAGAACTCATAACTCAATCATAAATGAACCCTAATTTATCGGGATAGTCAAAAGGGTAGGTGATTATTTTTTTTACCTCACAAAATTAACTATCATGTTATCACATTCTGTTATCGAACTGCGGATGCTTTCATCCTGTGCAGCTGCAGGTTAGAGCCACGGTTACGTCTTCAAAAGAAACAAGAAAATTTAGATGAACTGAAACTAGTTAAATCAGGCTAACTTTTATTGCAATGCATGTATAATAAGCATATATTGTCAGAACATCATTTGTACTTACAGTATCTCTGGGTTGAGGAGGGTTAGGAACGATGCACAAAATGATGACAACGATGACGAAAACTACGGCAATGGCCGTGAGTAGTCGTGTTGTTCGAGTACGACCCACCATCCTAGTTAACTTCAACTATCTTTCTTTTTACAAATAAATACACACATTTATTTCCCCTAGAATGATCGGGGAAAAGAATACTTACAATTATTTTAGACTCCACAAATTTCATGGCTTTGAATGGCTCCTATAGCGACAAAAGGAACTAGCAAGTTCGGTAATGAAAGTTTGCAATCACAAGCAATGCTATCGTTTGGGTAAACGATCAGCTTGACGTTCCTACGAGTATAAGCTGCGGAACAAACTTATCCTGCGTCTTTGCAGCGGAATTTGATTAACCACACTGTGTATTAATCAAAAATTTTTTACGCTCCCCAGAAAAATTTCAAAGACATTTTTCGAATTTTGTATTTATTTTGTAAATCATCAGAGTGCCATGTGTAACTGTGTATGTCCAGACGTATTAATTCACATAATATTTCAGGTAAGGGGTTTTGAATAATGACTGGTCAGCGAGGTTTGGTAGCGATAAATGTCTAGTAAACTGTAACATACAAATATTGACATGCATGCAAGTTAATCCATCAATTTGTGCCTGCCTTCAACAAGGCGAACTTGATGCCTCATTTTATCCTATACATTAAGCGTTGTCATATCAAAATGAACGTTAAATTATACACCTGAGTTCTATTTAATTATTCAAGTAATTTCACTTGCAGTCTGCGTCAATTTTAAGTTAGTTTAAAGTTCACAAATAATAATGTGTAAATCAGTAGTTTTAATCCCACTAATGTATTTATATCAATTATTTTATGTCGATGAAACCAAAAATGATAAATTCCATGAATTAATTTTTGTTAAAAAATTAAATACAAGTGGAACTTTTTAATCCCTCAACTTTATTTTTAAAGAGTGCAGCACACTGAACGTTGCCGTGAACCGAGCGGATCCATTCTAGTCTGACAAAGATTGGCGTGCGCGTTCTGTAGAATTTTACGGGACGAGGCCGAGCCAGCAGCGGGATACCCGCGAGATAAGCGACGGGATGCAGTGAACACAAAGAGATCTTGCTCAACTGAACCTGTCGTGATAGTGAAGAACTTTGCAGGAAATATTGCATTTTCTCCGGCTAACTTAATGCAATAACACAAAGAGTTATGCTGTTCATTTGAGACGAAAGGTCAGTTCTCACGCACCAGCACAATAGGCCTTTATCGGTAAAGAAATCCCATAGTACTTTATGCAAGCTCATTTTTTAATGATAATTGTAATTCTGATATTTATCGAATATTGTTCGATTTATTTGAATTATCGGGGTTGAAATATTGTGCCATTATGACAAATTCTCTGTTTTATTGAAGCGTTAACATACTAAGTTCGATCATGCCTGCTATATGGCTCTGTTCTACACGAGCGAAAACATATTTAAGTTGATCGGGCCTGCTTTCTGGCTCTGTTATATTGAAGCGTTAAAATATTTAAGATTTTAAAGTCGAAGCCATGTTGTTCCCGCCCCACGAAGAGGTTTTGTTCTCCCGGTAGCTATCTTTGATTTTCTCCCACTGCATTTCAATTACTCACTATACCTGGAAGGCTATTGTCTATCCGATTCCCTTTCTGACAGATCAAATGAATCAGGTAATAAATAATGAAAAATAACGTAATAAAGAATTTACCTTTTATTTCCATCTGTTTGTATTTCATTTGAATATGACTAACTATGGAGTTATAAATTCTTTCATGCCAAATTAAAAAATCTGTTACGCACTGATTGATCAATAATATGTAACCAAACGAATATATCAGACTTGGAGAAGGGAAGCTAAATTTGCAGACCATTCTTAAATGGACGAAATAAAAAATTAATTATTAGGGAGATAACAAACTGCCTGATAATAATTTATTAAACAGAGTTCGGATGAGTTTCCAGTCTTCTGTTGAAGCTAAATACTACCTTTGTTTTTATCGATTACAACGTTTTATAACAATCGTCTAAATGTTAAATTCTCTTGAATCAATTAGGAAAAATTAGACGCCACATCACAAGAAGTCAACTCGAGCGAAAATCTTTGAAAGCTACAAAATGCATTTGTACAAATGATAACTAGGGTATGCGCGTTCAATTTATACTAAATTTTTGCCAGATAAGCGCCAAAATCTTGCTAAAAAATCTTCTGAAAAAGGTTCATAATTTTCAAAGAATTACTTCACAAGAACATTACTCTGTTAATGAACGATATCACTTCACCGCTTCACTCGATGTAATTTAATTTTTTCGGGATTATCTTTAAATGAAATAAAAACGAACGAATTTTTTCATGAGTGCAAATTAGAATTCTAAATGCTGTTATCTTCGATTGCTTACGGATCAACTACTGAATGGTCTATAAATTATTGAGGGAGCTGCGAGCATTTGAATTGGTAGAAACAAACGAAAATGTAAGAAATAAATATTAGAGAAAAATGTAAAGTGACATACAAACGATTATAAGCATTACTAATTCATATTTATCATTGATGACATTGTATTTTCTAATATTAACTATGTCCCAGAAATGAGCTTGTGTTAGAGACAGATTCTGATGTAGTTAATCAACTAATTGAGGAAAATCAGTTTGAAAGTTGAGGCAAGTTTCAAAATAAAGTGACGCGTCAATTTTGATCCTTGAAGGCAGCCAACAGTTTCACTTTCAGGAGTAATTTTGACTTGGGCATGTTTCAATTTACATTTACGAGCAATTGTTTTATATGATTTAAGAACGTAGATGACCTTTAAATTATGTACGTACTTGTTTTTCTAATAAAATATTCATAATCAGATGTCTCTACTATTTTATTCCGCAAAATTTGACTATAATATTTTGAATAAATATCATATAACACTTAAAAATTGCATCTCTTCTATTTCACTCCTTTTGGAAATAATGTTCTTCGGTATCTTGAATAACGAAGGTGTTTCCAACTTATTTGAAATCTTTCATCACGAGAGTTTACATATCTACAAACTCGGGACCTGTACATTCCTCAAAATGATCTAGGAACATTATGTGCTGATCTTTTGTAAAAATCATCTGACAGGACGGACAGATAATTTCTTTGCAGGAATAAGTTATTATTCCATCAGGATAGTTGTACGAACCACCTTTACCTTGTCTGATAACTGGCATTGATGATGATTGAATATCGTTTGATTGATTTCTATCAGATGCCTTTGTTTGATTCTTATCCTCATACTTCACTAATCTATTTTTAGCAGAGGGTGAACGTTGAGGCACTTTTTCTGCAAGAACAGGACTAGAAATTTTCTTTGAAAGTCTTTCAAAATTTGGGTTTGTGACGACCACATCTGTAGGCTTTAACCGATCCGAATATACAATCCTATCGCCTTTGGCAGCGATTTCGTAACTTATAATTGCTGAAGCAATGTTCTTTGAAGCCATACTTCTTAGGTGAGAATCAGCTAACATTGGAGGGGAGTTGGCCTTAGAACTTTCAACGGATGAGAAGTTTGGCGAAGGCGTCGGGCTATTGACAGCAGGCGTGAATGAAAGCGTAGCCATATTTGTCATGCTGCCGTTATTGCAGTTTTTATTTTCGTTTATTCGAGCTAATTCCTCAGAGGAAGTTTTTCTTTGATGCGGCAACTCGAGGCTCGACACGACTCGAGCAGTGCGCTGCTCAGCAAAATGATCTTTCCTGCCGTTGTCCTGGAGCGTGACGTACGCAGAATTGACCAGAGTCCCATTTGCAAGAGTCCCGCAATTCAGTTCTTCTGGATATGTAAAATGTTCTTCCGTGACCGACCACCAGTGTTCTTTCGTAGATATTTCGATCGGACTTCTATTTGGCCTCGGACTCACTGGCTGGATATGAACTTCAGATATCGTTGTTTCTTTCTTAGGGGATTTCGGTGACGATATTTCAGCCTTCATAGAGGGTGTCATGTCTGGATGCAGCGAAAAACAAATGGCACCGGGCACACCTCGGCCTTCAGATGTCAGAGCAAATGTTGTTAATGACATACCTGGAGAAGATGACCTAGACGTTTCAGTCGATGTGGATGTTTGCGCGGGATTTGGTAAATTATTATAATTCTTTTGCGTGCACTTTCCTTGATGTGCCTGAGAGGAGTTACCGATAGTTGGTTTGTAGTCTGACGACATAGGAGTTTTTTGGCTATTGGCACTGTCGCTCACCGTTTTTGAGCTGTTCGTTGAGACTCCTTTCGGAAGCTTATTTGAAGCGCTCATCTTCGGTTCGTCTGGTTTCATTATAGAAGAAGTATGGACGTCGGAGTTTGAGCCTTTACTGTTTGAGATCTCCTTGATTTGAATGATACATGGCTGAAAATTAGTCCCTGGTCGAGGAGAGTTACTATTGTGACTCGAAGTATTGGAAGATTTATAATTATGTCCACAGTTGCTGTGCACAGCAGTTCCCTGGGCTTTTTGTGTTTTCTGGAAATCTCCCTCTTGCATCAATATCGAATTAAATTCATTTTTCTCCGGTGGATGAGACTTTTCGGCAAGAACAGGCGGCACGTATGGCCGAGGAACGGATGAGGATGGAGTATTTGGCCCACTGGACACTGGGCTTATTGGTAAAGCGTGCGCAAGGATGTTTCTGGCTCGGTGCTTTGCATTTCTGCGTCGTTCATCATCGTAAGCTGCTTTTGGCTGACCGGTATTCGTCTTCGGTCGAGCTCCGGTGAAATTGTAGCCGTGATTATGGAAGCCTGGATTCCTATTATGAGAGCACCGACTTCGGTCAAGTTCGTTTTCAGGGGACGAGCAGGATGCCAAACTTGATTCTCTAGACCGCGTGGGGGGTGGAAAATTCTTGGCAATAGGAGATTCAGACTCATTTACGAGATGCATTTGTGGGGATTTTTTGTACATGGCAGTTTTCTGATCATCAACTTCACCAAAAGCTATGTGGTGCATTAGAGACACTGGAATCCAACCCTTCAAGGGAACCTGAAAAAATTCTAGTATTAATATCGGAACAAAAACCTCTCAAAAGGTACACGTGAAACTAAAACAGATAAATATATTGGAAATAGCGGGTAATTTTGATGCATATAAAATTATTTGCGTTGAGGTATGAAACTGCATTTTTCACATTACGTGTCTTAGAAATATCATTCATCCAACCTCGGCATAATTTGACACAGGAAATCAAAATTGAATCACGAATAATCTAGTATAAAAAAACCAATTCGCGAATATTGTGCGTACCTGGGAAGTGCCGTTCGTATACGACAAGTTGTGATCATTTCGTGTCCTTGCATCACATTCACTTGACTTGGCCACAGAAGAATTCGCAACCTTGGGTAAACGGTCTTCTATTTTCGACTGATATTTTTTAGCATTTTCAGCATTACTAATCACGTTCTCAGAATGAGGTTGCCCAAGACTCTCTCTTCCAGATCCCCCAGATTCATTTGATGATTTAGCAGCAGGCTGTTGCACCATCCCTTGATGATAAACACCGCTACTTTCATCACGCGATGATTGTTTGGACGCTGGACTGGCGTCTCTCACACAATACTTTCCGTGGTTGTGCGTAGGGATTGCGCGATCGTGACCGTTGTATGTACCTGAAAATTTATCGAGATAAATTTCCCTTTCTACTGTCATTATTGACTTTGAAAACGATAAATTAATGAACTATGTACAATAAAAATTCACGTCATAGTTATGAATAGTAAATTTTATTGATAGTTTAAATATTTTATTTACATATTTCTTTCGTATATTTATAAAAAATCATAAATAAAGTGCTTGAAACTATAAAGCCTCAACTATGTTAACTGCAAGAAAACATGATAAAAATATAATACTAGCGCAGGTGACGGTAAAATAACAATAATAAAAAAATAATAAGGTGACGGTAAAATTCATAATCATCTGGAATACAAGGAACGAAAATTTCGTTATAATTTCTTACCCTGACGATGATATTCGAGTTGGCCAATGACCGGCGCTTGGTTCAGAGTATCGGAGGTCGCGGCTGGGGGCAAGAAGGCTGATGAGTCCCTGGCTCCACCACAGCGACTGCACAGCAGCAGCTTGCTTTCTTGAACCTTCAACTTTGAGAATATATAATAAATAATATATATGGTAGTTTAAGTTGACGCGCTAAATATTAGAACTTATATAAGGTTTCTATTTCCCCGTAGCAAAGGGAAAGTATTATCATTGTTGCTATCGACTCAAAATATGAACGGAAAATTTATCAATAACCAACTTAATGCTGCGTACTTTTTGAAGAAAATCATTAAATTATAGACAATAAAAATTCTTTTGTCTACATCAATGCACTTTTGAGGCAAAAGGGCACTGAGACATTTCAATGCACCTTGCACTCCTTTTTATAATAATCAAATCCATCAAGGCTACTAGGTAAATTATAAACGAGAAGTAAAAAATCTATTATTAAACTGCAGTCATCATTCGTACTTTCTGTTGCAGGTGCTGGACTTCCTGCATCAGGAGGTTGACTTTCTCCTCCGCCTCGTCTCTGGACTTTCTCTCCATTCTTTTCTCTGCTCTCTCTGCTTCCCAGTCGTCTCTGTGCGCCCGCACCTGTCCCGAGATAGAGGCTTAAACTAGGCTGTCAGCACAAGCGCTCGTGAGCACGCAAGTCTGTGAGCGCAGACGCAAATAAACACGCAAGTCTGTGAGCGCACTCGCTCAGGAGCACGTAAGTCTGTGAACACACGCGCAAATGAGCTCGGAAGGCTGTGAGCACAAGCGCTCGTGAGCACCCAAGTCAGTGATCACACACGCTCATGAGCACCCAATTCAGTGAGCGTGCAATCATGGGTAATGATAGTAATAAATTAGCAATTGAGCATACAAATGAATGAGCTCACCGCGAAAACGAATAAAAGTAATTAGTTATAAATCAGGTTAATGGACATGCTGGTAGATGATTAGATAAGAAATCGACATAGAGGTGACTGAAACATACAAGTGAATGAATAAGCTAATGGAGATACAGGTTAACGAACTTCTCATACATCATTCCAAAGTATTCATGAACATTGAAACATTTTAGAGGGATGGGAACATAGCAAATTGATCGTTATAACTTAGTGCCTGTAGGCGATCATTGTAACCGGGGATTTTGTGTCAAAGTCTTAATGAAAAAATCAAGACTGCGAATGAATCTGAAATTAAATGAACCTTTCCCCATAGGTGAAAGGGATTTGTGATTTTCACATTGAATGATTAATTTTAAGTTCGTAACAGCATTTAAAATTTATCTTAGCGTCATTTACTTTCGGATATTTTCTTACAAAATTCATATGAAGCAAGCAATGCTGAGTTACGGTTATTTAGAAGAGAATGTGAAGAAAGGAAGCAATCAAAAGTGAACGGGGCTTGAGCCGTGCAATCAGAGAGGTGATTAGCGGTAATAGAGACGAACAGTGACCGAGTGATCAGTGACACCAACTCCATTCGTTCCTGACTTGAATCGAAGAAAACATGGGATAAATTATCTAATAGCTAGATCTATGCTAGGAAAACTTATTATCAATGAATTTGAGCTTCATGATTTAACCTAATATTATCGTTTTTCTGAAACTTAAAATGTGTGTGAAGAAAATTGTACTTAAAAAACTTATTTAGAAACTTTGTTTTATTTGAATGTAATGAAAAGTAATTCCAATAAAACTTTCTATCGAACATAAAGGGAAATAACGTTACCTTATAAAAATATAGGCCATGCGGAATTGACAAATATATTGAGATTAAATTGCAAATTTATTATCATTAGTGAGGTTATAATTTATTTACTAATAATAACTGTAATCTAAATATCGTCGCCTCGTGGCAAAATTGTTTCTATACTATAGTTACATATAATAAAGTTACTTAAATCTTGGTTTGAGCATTCGTAGACTTTAACCGCATTTCAATAAGGCATTTTTTTGTGTCTCTTAACTCATAGCCACTAATGTCAAAAGGAACCTGCATCCGTATTACAATTGGTTAGGTATAGTCACAAGTAACCTGCATCCGCATTACAAGGTTAAGTATTGTCACAAGTAACCTACATCTGCTTGTATTATAGTTAAGTAAGTATGAAGTATAGGTACTAGTATCGTAACCAGGTCATGTATAGTTAAAGAACCTGCATCTGTAGCAGCGCCACATGCTCCTGGTATTCTGCTCGGGCTCGCTGGAGGCTTTCTTTGAGCCGCTGGCTCTCCTTGTCTTCCTGACCTTCTGCTGCTTTAAATAAATGTTTACATCTTTCTACGAAAATTAAAACAAAATCTTAGAGAGAACTATTTTGAGGCAATGATTTTTCGCAATTCATGTAAAAGAAGCTATTCAAAGCTATTAATTTTCCTATAAATAAAAAATATCGTTGCCAGGTTAAAAAGCCGGTTAGTATCAGTGATAACAATAACAATAAATTAAGTGTTCTGTACCTCACATGGATCAGCTTTATGGTTAATCATGTCCAGCATCCTGGCGGCGAACTGCTTGCAGTCAGGGTGAGTGCACTCATCTGCTGGCAAGGAGTGAATATAATGATTTGGCAATGCTAAATGAACAAAAACCATGTATTCTGACAATTTATTTATGCATTGTTTCCAACTTTATGCAAGTGTGCCAAATTTCAGATCGATTGGACAGGTAGAAGTGTGTTAAATATCGATTAGGAACTGCGAGCAGAGATTGACTAAAGAAACCATGAAAATTTAGAACTTTTAGAGGCAGATATTATCAGGGTTGCAATGTTGTAACTTTAATATTTTATCTCATATAATTTCCAAGCATGTAATAGAGTATCAATTATTCAATGTACTATTTGTTTAAGGTGATTAATCCTCTATTTTACAACACTCCTCTTTAACTTCACTTCTTGTTGTTTGACTGTCTGTCTGCTACAAATCTTATAATCGATATTTAACACACTTCTACCTGTCACTCGATCTGAAATTTGACACACTTGCATAAAGTTGGAGACAATGCATGAATCAATTGTCAGAATAATTGATTTTAGAAATTAACTTTTTTTCTCAATATTAAATGAAATTAAAAATAATTTTGTCAGCTACATATCTTATTATCGATATTTGACACACTTCTACCTGCCCAATCGATCTGAAAATTTGCATACATGCGTAAAATTGGAGACAATGCATGAATCAATTGACAGAATAAATAGTTTTATAAATTAATATTTTTTTTCATTATTGAAAAAAAATTAAAATAATTTAGTCTGCTACAAATCTTATAATCCATATATGACACAATTTGACATGTCCAATCGATCTGAAATTTTGCACAATTGCATAAAGTCAGAGACAATGCATGAATCAGTTGACAGAATAAATAATTTTAAAATTTACAAAATTTTGGTATCTTAAAAATATGTGAAAAATATTTTTTTTTAACATTTGCAAATAAAATTAGAAATTCATTGTACATGTGTAACATCCAAGACACTGGATTCTTCAGAAATATTGTCTTTAAAAAGTAATTTTTAAATGCATATTATTAAAATAACGATTCCGAAGAATAATCAAACATACAATGACTTACCTTCCATTTCTACAGATTGTGTCTCATCAATCATTAGACTTATGCGTTATTTACAAAATTCGAGGAAGAAAATTTGGCATCATACATTCATTCATGTCATACATTTATCTTGATATTCTACTTAACGATACTTTCACAGTGAACACCATTCTTTTTTCAGACCATGGTATGAAAACTGAGTGAGTCATCTTCTCCAAATATTGAAACACTTTCCGCACGTACCACTGGTACGTTCTTTTGTCACTTGGTCACTGTGTCAAACTGGGCCAGGGTGTCTCACACAGGGTGTTGAATACCTGGTTCTCAAATGCGCTTCTTTTGTACATTTCGTTCGCCGGATGCATGTGTGTCAGTGACATTTTACTTTAGTTCGATTTTAAAAGCATCTATAGCGTCGGTTGCGGTGTTGGCTATGGACTGTACAGAAGAAAATGTTTGGTAAGCGTGTGTTCTAATTTTGAAGGTTCGTGTAACGTGTATATTTGACTTTTATCGTGTTATATGTTCGAAATAAATGATTTTACTTCTCGATTATACCTTTATGTGCAATACTACTTTTTTTTTAACCATTTTTACCTTTGTATATTGTTTGTTTACAGAAATCGATTTTATAAAGACAACTGAACGAAAACTCGTGTATTCAAATCCTTCGCCAAACGAATATACGTAACACAGGGAAAGAGTGCATCGATATTTAGACAAGGTTTTGCTCATATCTCTGAGTGACCACTTTTCACGGCATCGCACCTTTTGACCACCTCCTGGTGGAGAGGACGATGGCTCGTGACGTTGCTGGAGGGAGTGGATGGTGGACAACAGACGCTCCACGTAGCCCTGGCGTTCCTCGTGGTACGCTCGCCATTGGCCGTTCAAACGTCC